GACTTCAACTGCAAAAGTAGACACACTAGCTAAAAACATTAGCTGTGCTCCATTCAAGGTCCCAGAAGATGAAATCATTCAAGGACAGAAAGTGGTAGAAATTGTTTTTCATAATTAGGATGTTCCTGGTTAAATAAATGTCAATAAATAAATCTGTCAATTCATCCATCATTAGATTTCTGATCAGTTCCAAACATCCATGTATCAGTTTTTCTTAATATTTACAGGATGATAAAACTGATGAAAGTTATATTTTTATGACCACTGTTTGACACAGTGTCATTATGGTAAAAGGCTGCATGATGTCATGTCAGTTTGTTATGAGTAGACCTGTCATTTAATCAGAAAAATAAATGATATTTTCATTGTGTAGTTAATATTTTAAACGTGCAATTGCTTGGCACAATGACACGTTACAAATAAAACTAAATGAAGAACAAACAATATAAAATAAAATTCTCCTCTAAAGTCATTGTTTGGGATGAATTGTCACCTTAATTTCATTATCTGAGCCACAGCAGTGAGTTTAAAAACAGGATGATTCAACTAGAATCTGTCTCTAATTTAGTCATTTAATCGTTTTATGAAGGTAAAAGTATGTTTAGGAACCTGGTAAAATACACCAGAATGCAGGAAACTGCATCTACTAGTTTCAAATTTTTCTGGTGGAGGACCCCCAGACCCCCCACTAATGCCCCCTCACACACATTACAGTGCTTCTGATGCTCATTGCTTAACCTTAGAGAGAATAAACCAACACACCTGTAGTGCACCACCTGTGTACTACAATAATTGAACTGTGTTCTAACTAGTTGATTGTGAAACTGTACTCCTGATTAGATTAAAGAGCTGCTACAGTACACAGTATAATGCAGGTGAACATCATATAGGTGTAACTGAGTACACCTTATTGCACCACAGCAGAAACATTTACTTTGTTGTTTATGAAGTGTGAAGAGGCAGGTTTTGATCGGTGAATACAAAATACAAAAATATTACATGCTAGTGCTGTATCTTTGCCTAATTTATTTTTACATGAACAAAAATTGGGCCGGTCTTGGCCATTAAACTCCCGGGCTGAAAAGTTTCCCCACTCCGCCCCTCGTCTGAATGTTGTGTTGTTGTGTTTTTGACCAAGAACCTTTTATAAACCAACTTTTCAAATCATAGTTTCACTCTTGTTGAACTGTGTTATTGTGGTCCTTTCTGTAGACAAAATCAGAATGAATAAAAAATAATAATAATAATAAATAAATACATAAATAAAAAACTGTTAACACTGTGCCTAAAAATCGATTTCATTTTTTTTCCTTTGGTTTATCTGTTGCTTTTAGTCTATTTTATTTTAGCATTACTGATTCAGAGGTCAGTGTAAAGAGGGTAAATGAATCACATTTTCCTGGTTCATAAACTAAAGGTAAAAGACAGTTTAGCAAAATTAAAAACCTTGAATAAAAAACAAAAATCCTAAAACAAACAACAACAAGGTCTAGTTCACTGACAACAAACTAAGTGACTAAAGTGATTCAAGCAGCCCTATAGTGACAACCTGACTCGAAGAAGGTCATTATTGTATCAAAATGTTTGTTTTATTCACAAGAGAGAAAAAGGAGATTTATTTTTCAAACATGATTAAAAACATTTTCATTTCTAAATTTTCATCCTGAACATGCAGGTTTTTTATATAATTATTGTCACTTATAAGTTATATTGTTGAATATATTAAACACTAAATGGAATCTGACTAAATCCAACCCTGAAAAAAATATTTCTGTGCCTACATGTTAAAATTTATTTGTAACACATCTTAAAGCGATCAGGACAAAAAGTGTAAAAACAGAAGCAGATATGGCTTCTGAACTGTAATAATGCAGGTCATTACTGAATTTTTTTATATTATAAATGTTGTTCTAGTCGCCAAATTACTTGTTAACATGAACTCAAACGAACCACAATAAAAGATGCACCATGTTTGCTTTTTTTTTTTTTTTTGGAGGGGGGGGTGCAGTGGGGTGCAGGGGTGGATGAGTATGCAGAGAACAAGTGAGTAATACTAGCTGGTGAGGCTCTGAGTTCCAGTCTGTGAATCATTGTTTTCTTGAAACACAAAAACATAATTTCTGCTTCTGTGCTTTACCACATATTCATTTATATTTATAAATACATACATACATACATACATACATACATACATACATACATAC